TGTAGGGGGGGGGGGGGGTCTCCCCCAGCCCCACATCCTGCACCCGGACACACCAGCCCCCCAGGAACGCAGCCACGGGCACCAACCCTGCTCCCCAACCACAGGGAGGGTGAAGGGGCTCCACATCCTGGTGGCCACCAGGCAGGTGACACACTCCCCCAGCCCCAATTTCACATGAATTAACCCCAAAGCGCCGTGGGTTTGGAGCACAGGTGGGGATGAGCCCCCCAGTCCCTGCCTCTTTAACCATCTCCCACCATCTCTGGGTGCCTTTGCCAGAATCTCTGCCCTTTCAGCCCCCTGCAGCTATTCCAGCCGCCGGACCTCTCCGAGTTTTCAAAGCAGCTGGGGAATTACAGCTTAAAGCACTTATTATTTTAATAAGATGCTGATTAACCTATTTATTTTGCACGGGGGCCAGCGATACCACGGGGTGGGCTCCTGCGCGGGCGACTGGGGCGAGAAGGAGCCTTTGATCCGCTGCCTTTGATGGGGGTAACTCCGTGTGCTCCGCGCGCCTCTCGCCGCCTCGCTGCCCGTTTCTCACCCCAAATTCAAAACCAACAGGAGAGGCCGGAGGTGACGGTGGAGAAACGGCAGCAGAAAGAGGCAGCACCGGCCCAAGGAGCAAAACCAGGAGCTTTTGTGGTCCCGGGGCTGCGAGGTAACGGCCAGAGCTTTCCAGGCTGGAAAAGCCGGTGGGAAGGTGCCGGCTCGGACAGGGGGAAAGGGCTGAGTTTTGGCAATTCCCACCCGAGCTCCCCCCCCCAGCACCTTTGAAATGCGAGGCCAATAAAGGGCCATTTGTCAGAGCGATGGTTTCCCCACATGGCGACTGGGGGGGGTGTCTGAAAGCTGCGAATTTCACACAGAAAGTGGCCGCAGCCATGGCAGATCCTGCTGCCAGCAGCTTTTCCCAGCTCAAAACCCGCTCTCGGAGCAACTCGGCTCTGCAGGACGTGGGTCCGACACCCTCCAAACCCCAAAACCCCAACCCATCAAACCCTGGCACCTTCCTCTTCCTCACCCTCCCAACACCGGCGTCCTGGGGTCCCACAGAGCCCACGCACGGCGGAGGTTACGGACCGATGAGGGAACGCCACGGCAGGGGATTTCTTCCCCCCCTGGAAATTGCCCGATGTCTTAAAAGATGAGAAATGCTACAAGATAAATGCTTGGAGTCCATAGTTTGAAACTCTGTCAGGAATAAAACCCAGAGCACTTGCTCCTCCCTGATAACTCCCCAGCTCCCCCCAGGATCCGTGTGGATCCGGGGGCTGCCCGGAGCAGTGTCATTCCAAGTCCTGTCACGGGGTTCCCTTTAAAAGCCTTTATGGGAACTGCAGTCACAGCATGGCCGGGGTCAAAAGGCACCTCTGGAGGTCACCTCCTCCTTGCTCTTTCACTCTCCCCCCTCTCCCCTCTGCCCTTCCTCTCCCCTCTGCCCTTCCTCCTCTTCACTCTCCTTTCCTCCCTTTCCCCTTTTTATTCCATATTTTAACAGCAGCCCCTGGAAATCAGATCAGTGATTTAAAGCTGGTGTTTGATCTAAGGGAGGCTGCTGTTAACCACTGGGTCGTTCTTCAGTGATTTAAAGCTGGTGTTTGATCTAAGAGAGGCTGCTGTTAATCACTGGGTCGTTCTCAGGCAGGAATCACCAGTAACTCCCAGTGCTCTGGGAACTGGTCATGACTCCTGTGTGAGTTTGGGGCCAGCCCCGTCGGCAGCCCCAGGGTTTGGGCAGAGCAGCCAAAAATGCGTGTTCCCCAGGGAACGGGGCAGCGGCGCTCCCAGTCCCACCAGTATCAGCTTTGGCAGCAAGTGGCACAGCACGCTTGTGCAGGGGCACGTCTCCAGCACAGCCCCACTTCCAGCCCAGTCCCAGCTCCAGTCCCAGCCCCAGCTTCAGCCCAGTCCCAGCTCCAGTCCCAGTCCTGGTTCCAGCCCCAGCCCGGGCTACAGCACAGCCCCAGCCCAGTCCCAGTTCCAGCCCAGGGATCCAGCATAGTCCCAGCTCCAGTATGAGGTCCAGCTCAGTCCCAGCTCCAGCCCAGTCCCAGCTCCAGCCTGGGCTCCAGCACAGCCCCAGTCTGAACTCCACCTCAGCCCCAGCTCCAGCTCAGGCCACTCCAGACTGGGTTCCAGCAAAGTCCCAGACCCAGTCTGAGCTCCAGCACAGCCCCAGACCCAGTTCCAGACACAGTCCCAGTTCCAGCACAGCCCCACTCCCAGTTCCAGCCCCAGCCCCAGTCTGAGCTCCAGCACAGCCCCAGTCCCAGTTCCAGCCCCAGTCCCGATTCCAGCCCCAGTCCCAGTTCCAGCCCCAACTCCAGCTCCAGACCCAGTCTGAGCTCCAGCACAGCCCCAGACCCAGTTCCAGACACAGTTCTAGCACAGCGCAGTCCCAGTTCCATCCCCAGTCCCAGTTCCATCCCCAGTCCCAGTTCCAGCCCCAGCCCCAGTCTGAGCTCCATCCCAGCCCCAGCCCCATCCCAGCCCCAGCCCCATCTCTCCTGCGGGACAGAGCCCGCCCGTCCCCCTGCAGACCCGCAGAGGCTGGGGTGAGGAATGCAGCCCCGGCCGCCGCGCAGCCAGCTCCTGTATTCCTGCAGGAACCCTCCAGCCTGCTCCAATTAGCTTTCCTGGAGATCCCATTACTTCCAGCCACAAAGACATTGCTGAGTTTATTCCCCTGGAACAGGCGCAGGAGCGGAGGTAACGTGTTCCTCCAGCCTGTTCGGCCTCCCTACAGAACAGCCCCTTAGAGAACACCTGGAGCAGCTCTGGCTGCCACGGCACAACCACCAGGATGGATCCCCCTCCAGAGCAGAACCCAATTAACACCCAACATTGCATTTCACTCAGGCACTAATGACACAACGTCAAACAGAGGAGAGGCAGCGAGGGGAGGAGGCAACGTCCAGCCACAAAGACATTGCTGAGTTTATTCCCCTGGAACAGGCGCAGGAGCGGAGGTAACGTGTTCCTCCAGCCTGTTCGGCCTCCCTACAGAACAGCCCCTTAGAGAACACCTGGAGCAGCGCTGGTGCCGCCGCACAACCACCAGGATGGATCCCCCTCCGGAGCAGAACCCAATTAACACCCAATATTGCATTTCACTCGGGCACTAATGACACAACGTCAAACAGATGAGAGACAGTGAGGGGAGGAGGCAACGGGTCCAGGCTCTGGTTGGGAAGGTGTCACCCAGGAGCATCGTGGCTCCTTCTCCTGGATTAGTGTCCTGGCACCACGGTCTCACGGCACTTCCACATTCCTCCTACACAGGAAGCTGCAGCAGGGAAACCCCCTTTCCTGTCCTGCTAAAATCCAAACCCTCTGTGCTTCAACGAGTCACAGACTGGTTTGGGTGGGAAGGGACCTCAAAGCCCCCCCAGTGTCACCCCCTGCCCTGGGCAGGGACACCTCCCACCACACCAGGGTGCTCCAAGCCCCCTCCAACCTGCCCTTGAACCCCTCCAGGGATGGGGCAGCCACAGCTTCTCTGCCCAACCTGGGCCAGGCTCTCCCCACCCTCACACCAAACAAGTTCTTCCCCACAGCTCAGCTCCATCTCCCCTCTTGCAGGGTCCAACCCTTCCCCCTCCTCCTAGGGCTCCCCTCCCTCATCCAGAGTCCCTCCCCATCTCTCCTGGAGCCCCCCTTCTTGAGGGACTGGAAGGGGCTCCAAGGTCTCCCTGGAGCCTTCTCTTCTCCAGGCTGAACCCCCCCAACTCTCTCAGCCCCCCCTCCCAGCAGAGGGGCTCCAGCCCTCCCAGCATCTCCGGGGCCTCCTCTGGCCCCGCTCCAACAGCTCCATGTCCTTCTGCTGGTGGTGGCCCCAGAGCTGGAGGCAGCACTGGGGGGTGTCTCCCCAGAGCGGAGCAGAGGGGCAGAATCCCCCCCTGGCCCTGCTGGCCACGCTGCTGGGGATGCAGCCCAGGGGTGGGGGGTTTCTGGGCTGCCAGCGCACGTTGAGGGGCGTGTGGAGCTTCTCACCCCCCAACACCCCCAGGTCCTTCTCCTCAGGGCTGCTCTCCAGCTGTTCCCCCCCAGCCCGGGGTTGTGCTGGGCATTGCCCTGACCCAGGTGCAGGACCTGCCCTTGGCCTGGTTGAACTCCATGAGGTTCACATGGACCCACCTCTCAGCCTGTCCCGGTCCCTCTGGATGTTTGGGGTGACTGGACCCATAGGGCCAGCACAGCTCGTGGCAGAGGGAGCTGGGACACCCAGGGGACAGAGGAATGGGGAGGAGATACCTGTGGGGAGAACACCTCTGCCACTTACCGAGGAGGGGAGTCCAGGAGGCACCTTCCGAACCTTTTTGGGTTGTCCATCTGGTTTAAAGAAAAGAAAAGAGGATCTAACTTTTGTGGGGAGGGGAGGGGCGGAACAACAAGCCACAGCTGAAAGTCCCCAAGGATGGAAGATGCAGGTACAAACAGGGCTCAGATCCCAAACTCCCAGTACCCAAAAAAGTGTCAATAATGAAAATGTCTGAGGATGAACCTCTCCCCCTCGTCTCCTCTGCACCCTCCCAGGGCAGGCTTCACCCCCGAACGGGGTTCATGGGGCAGTGTCTCTCCCAAAACAACGTGGTAAGAGGTGTCCACCCCGCGGAGAAGGGCTGCGCTGCCTCTTTGGGGCAGAAATAACCCCTTGTTGTTCTTTCTTTCTGAAAACTTGAAGTGGGTTTGCAGAGAGAAATGCAGAAAGAGAACAAATGCAGGGCTGGGGCTGTATTTCCATTTGCTCCTTATAGAGAAATATAGTGGGGAAAGCTTCGCGGCTGCAGGAAGATGAGGATGGTGTTCACCCCCAGCCAGTCCCTCACCAGGTCCTGCCCTGGGTGGGGGGGACACACACACAGTGTCCTGGGGGAAGGGAGACAACTCAGGGAGGTTGGAGGGGGTTGAGCCACAAGAAAGGCTCAAGGGGAAGCACTGGTTAAAAATCTGGGGGTTTTTTTTCAGATCATAATTAAGGAAAGCCCCCACTGGGTGGTGCAGGGTGCTAACGCAGCACATCCCCCAAGGCAGGGATGCTGCTGGGGTGAGCTCAGGAGGAGAAATTCATCACACAGAACAACCCGATGTAAAAGAACCATTTTCCAGGCTGACAACATCAACCAGCAACGTTTTAACGTGGCAACATCAAAGTGGGTGCCTTTTTCTGAAAAGCACTGGAAAAAACCACGTTACGCTGGGTCACTTCTAGTTTCGTTTGTCGGGGAAAGCCCAAAATAGCAGCAAGAAAGTGACTTTGGAGGGTGTGTGGGGGGGGAACTATGACAAGAAACACAAGTTCTGGAGAACTGGGGCTTGTCTTCACTCAGAAGGTACATTCACACCCGGCCTCAGCCTTCGTTAAAAGCCAAATGGCTTCTTTTTGCCCAGTTGAGAGCCCCCGCGGTCGCTTGACCCCGCAGAGAGGAGGGGGGACACGCAGGGGGTGACAGGAAGCCACTTACCTATGTTGCTCTCAGCACCTCTCCGGCGAGGATTGTTGGGGTAAGAAAAATACTGAGACCCCCCTTTCACCCCGGTGGGGGAAAGCGTGCTGGGACTCGCCATTCCCATTTCGCTGGGCAGGAAACCGGTCTGCAAACGGGGAGAGACAGAAAAACCCTTTTTACGAAAGCACCGCGATCGCTGGGAGAGAACGGAGATGGCTTGAGCCAAATTCGCACCAATTCAGCCCAGGGAAACAAAAAAAAAAAAAAAAAAAAAAAAAAAAAGACAAGCCAAAGGACTAGAAGGAAAAAGCAGCCCTGAGGAAAGGGACTGCAGCCCTGAGGAAAGGGACTTGGGGGTTCTGGTGGACGAGAAGCTGGACATGAGCAGGCAGTGGGCACTTGCAGCCCAGAAGGCCAATCGCATCCTGGGCTGCATCAAAAGCTGCGTTGGCAGCAGGTCCAGAGAGGGGATTCTGCCACTTTACTCTGCTCTGGTGAGACCTCACCTGGAGTGTTGTGTGCAGGTCTGGAGCCCTCAATATAAGAAGGACATGGACTTGATGGAGAGGGTCCAGAGGAGGGCCACGAGGATGATCAGGGGGTTGGAGCACCTCTGCTCCGAGGACAGGCTGAGGGAGCTGGGGTTGTTCAGCCTGGAGAAGAGGAGGGTCCGGGGAGACCTTATAGCAGCCTTCCAGTACCTGAGGGGGCTACAGGAAGGCTGGGGAGAGCCTGTTTAGAAAGGCCTGCAGTGACAGGACGAGGGGCAATGGCTTCAAGCTGGAGGGGAACAGATTTCGACTGGAGATGAGGAGAGGGTTCTTCACTGTGAGGGTGGTGGAGCACTGGGACAGGTTGCCCAGGGAGGTGGTTGAAGCCCCATCCCTGGAGATATTCAAGGAGAGGCTCGACGAGGCCCTGGGCAACCTGGTCTAGTTGGGGGTGTCCCTGCTGACTGCGGGGGGGTCAGACTAGATGGCCTTTGGAGGTCCCCTCCGGCCTGGGAAATTCTATGATTCTATGAAAAACCAAATTTGTAAATACGGGTGTAGTGGTGGGGGAACAGAGGTGCAATGAGAAAAGGGACTTTCAAGCTGGGTCCCAGGGAGGAAGCTCTCTACAAACCTGGGGTGGGAACCAGAAGGTGCTGTGCTGGGGAGCATCCCTGCCCCATGCTCACCTCGTTGCCCCCCCCGGGGCAGGATGAGACCCTGCCGAGGGTTTTATGGGCCCAACCTGCTGCAGGCAAAGAGGAGGTGACCACTGGGCCATGTCCTCACCAGCCCCACCAGCCTGTCTGCGAGCCACGGCCTCAGGAGCATCTGCTGGAGGCAGCGAGCTCTGCCCGCACCGGGACAAATGGATTTACTTGGGACAAAACTCTTCCTTTGCCACCTCCGAGGTTTTACAGCAAGGGGGGACAGTTTCTGATGCTTTGGGGGACACACAGCGTGTCCTTCCATCCTCAAACAGCCCACTCGACCACCCCTCCTGCCCTCACCAAGGACATGGCCGGGGCAGAGACCAGAGATGGTGCTCACCCCCTGGCAAACCCAGGAGCCCCCCGGCTGCCCCATCTCTCGACCGTGCCCAAACCGACCACCGGAGACAGGTAACACGGCTGGTGGCCCATCTGACTGTGCCTCTCCCAGTGCCCCCCGACCATAAAATCCAGCCCAAGGTGCCCCCACTGGCAGTTCCTCTCCCATCCCAGCAGCTGGACCCACAACGGAGCCGTGATGCCTCTGCCGGGGCTGGTTTTCTCTTGCATTTTATCAGGGAAAAATCACAGAATCACAGAATCTTCTAGGTTGGAAGGGACCTTAAAGATCATCTTGTCCAACCGTCAACCTGACTGACAAAAATAGACACCCACACAACAAACAAGGAGCATCATCACTAAACCAGACCTCCCAGCACCACATCAACCCGTCTTTTGAACACCTCCAGGGATGGGGCCTCAACCACCTCCCTGGGCAGCCCATTCCAAGGGCTGAGAACCCTTTCAGTGAAAAAATTTTTCCTAATATCCAGCCTGAACCTCCCCTGGTGCAACTTGAGGCCATTTCCTCTCGTCCTGTCACCTGTGACTTGAGAAAAGAGACCGACCCCCATCTCTCTACACCCTCCTTTCAGGGAGTTGTAGAGAGCAATAAGGTCTCCCCTCAGCCTCCTCTTCTCCAGGCTGAATAACCCCAGCTCCCTCAGCCTCTCCTCATAAGACTTATTCTCCAGACCCCTCACCATCTTTGTTGCCCTTCTCTGGACCCGCTCCAGCACCTCAATGTCTTTTTTATGGTAGGGGGCCCAAAACTGGACACAGTACTCAAGGTGAGGCCGAAGGTCGAACCCTTCTTTCTTAAACAGAGGAAACTCCTCCCTCGTGTTGATCCCAGCTGACCTCGGGCGCGCTGGGAAGCGGCACGGAGCCGGCAGGAGCCAGAGCCCGGGCACTCGCTGGCTCCTGGGATGGAGAAAATGTGCTTTTCCTCCAGGATCACACCCGCTTTCACCTCCGGAGAAAGTGAAATGTATTTACATGGAATTTAAGAGAGCTGGCAAAGGGCCTTTAAGTAACAAAAGCTTTGGCTTTGACCCATCTTCCGAGGGCAGAATGTTGAAATAAAGGAAGATTTCAGGCTTTTGGGAAACTGGAAAAGGAAAACCGACTGCTTTACAACTCCGTCTCCTCCAGAAAGGGGTCGGGGAGGGAAAGAGGAGCTCGTGTATTCACAGCTGGTGAAATTCCTGCAATCTGTTCCACTGGTCATATTACCTTTGCAGCGAAACCACGACGGGCCGTGGAGCAGCGCGGCCAAGGAAAGCCATCGGCGCAGCACCCCCAGAGCCCGGAGCTGCTGCCCGGCCCCTCCAGAGAGGAGCAGAGATTTTCAGGCAATTTCCCAGAAAAACAGCTTTTCTTCCCCCTCCCTCCCCCGGGGATGCCTCCAGAGGTGGTTAAGTGTTAAACAAGGGGGGGAGACCTAGCCTTGCCCTGGAGGGGGGGAATTTAGGGAGGAACCTGCTCCCCATTCAGGGCATCTGCCACTGGACAATTTTCCAGCGCTTTTCCAAAAAAAAAATCTTAAAAAAGGCAAAAAAACCAGGTCAACCTTCGCCCCCACCCCCTCCAAAACCAGAGCCAGAAGCAACAACTGTTGTGGGGGCCACCGGGGGCGGGCAGACGGCCCCGCACAAGAGGGGTTTTGTGTCTCCCCTCCACATCAAACGGGCTGCGTCCCCCCGGCTCTGCCACCCGATCCCGACCCGCGCCGGGGCCTCTCCCAGCCCGCGGCACCATGTGCCCACCCCGCTCCTGTTACCTTATATCTCCCCCTCCTCCACCAAAACCCCAGCAAAAACCATAACATTCAAAAGCGAGGCTTGGCACCCGTCCCATTTTTATTTTAGCAGCTTCAGTGGTAAATTAAATCCACTCTGGCACAGACAGCCAGCACAGCTGTTTCAGCAAAAGGAAACATCCTCAGTTCAGAGAAGAGGAAATTATGACAAATTTGTGTAAAATTAAAACATGTAATATGTGTGTGTGTACATGGATAAAATAAAAAGCTGTCCGGCCAAAAAGCTGCTCCCTTGAATAAAATGGTGGGACTGTTTCCCCGGGGCCAGGCTCGGGCACGGACGGGGCAGTTGCAGCAACACATCAAAGAGAAGGTGCTCGCTCCTTCCCAAAAAACTATTTCTGGACGGCGGCGACAGCAGGAGAGATCATCTCAGGGCTGGTCCACCGCGTTCCCGGTCTCTGATTTATGCCTGTGGTATTCCCCATGGGAAGGAAACTGTTCCCCACGGCGCAGCCCTGGTCCCCACACCGGGGTTCACTCGGGGTGACCCAAGGGGACACCTCTCCCATGCCCTGTCCCTCCCCAACTGGGGAGATGAGCATCTGGGGCAGGTCCTGCACGGCCAGAACCACCATAACACCAAACCACCACCTGATATCCACCGAAAAGATGCTCCAACAGCACAGGAACTGTCTCACGGGCTCTCCCTCCCCTGAACTGGTGAGCTGGGGGACATGGGGACACTGGCTGAAGGGACACTGGCTGGGGAAGGGAGAGCAGCAGCACCAGTCACAGTGCTTGGGGTACAGTGAGACCCCCAGCGTGGGCAGCCGGAGGGAGAAGGTGCCACCTGAAGTGTTCCTGTGCCCCCAGCCACCCTGTCACAGGGAGAGGTGTTACTTGGATCCCACTCACTGAACCCCCCTCCGAGGGCAGCCTCGGCTCCGTCACATCTGCTTAAATACAAATCAGCCAGAAATGGGATTAGCAATAATAAAGTGAGTGAGTCTGAAGAGGTTTTGAAAAGAACTGAGAAGCTGCTACAACCCTGTTTTCTGAACTCTGACAGCTCTTCTGAGCCAGCACCCTGTGTCCGTACAAACCCCCGGCACCCGGCAGAGGCTCCCCAGGACCCGGAGCAGAGACACAAACCACCAGGTTCCCTCTCGCTCCCAGTCTCCTGCTCCCGACAGCTGAGCCAAGAAATGGAGTGAAAAAAAAACCTCAATGTGTTTTATTCTTACCTGGTTCAGTCCTGGCATCCCTGTGTCTCTTCCGAACGTGGAGTATGAGGCTCTTTCACTGCTCTTCCCTACGGTGGAGAAAAGGAAAGACAAGGTTTAGAGGAGGAGGGAAGGGGAGGTTTGATGCAGCCTCGTGCACCTCCCGGGGCGTCCCGCCGAGGTGTGAAGCCCTCTCTCGTCACGCAGCTCCGAGCAGAGGTGATGGCCTCTGGGCACAGCCCCCTGCTAAAACAGGAGCTTTTTTTACTTTCCTGGACCTCAGGGCTCGGCCAGTCCATAAACAGCAAAACCCCCAACGTGCAGCGATGCGGGGAAGCGCTTGTGGCCATGGAAACCGGCAGTGTCAGAGCAGAGCAGAAAAAAATCCCTCCAGATGTATTAAAAAAAGGCAGGTGAATTTGGCAGAGGTGGTGACAGAGCAAAGCCAAAGCCAGGCTCCAGTGACCAGGCTCCATGGGTGCTCTCTGTCCATCAGGAAACACAATTCTAGTGCCCCCTGAGCAGCAGCGCATGGACCTGAGCTACTGCTCCCTACGGCGTGGGATTGACCTTCTCCCCCTTTCCTCATGGAGATCCAACTTCCCAAAACTCCATCCAGATCTAAAGAGAAGGCACTCAAGAGAAAAGCGTCTACTTCCTTTCCAAGCCCCCTTGGACAATTCTAGTGCCCCCTGAGCAGCAGCGCATGGACCTGAGCTACTGCTCCCTACGGCGTGGGATTGACCTTCTCCCCCTTTCCTCATGGAGATCCAACTTCCCAAAACTCCATCCAGATCTAAAGAGAAGGCACTCAAGAGAAAAGCGTCTACTTCCTTTCCAAGCCCCCTCGGTCACAGAATCACACGGGGTTGGAAGGGACCTCTGGAGATCATCTCCCCCAACCCCCTGCCAGAGCAGGGTCACCCAGAGCAGGGCCCACAGGAATGTGTCCAGGTGGGTTTGAATGTCTCCAGAGAAGGAGAGACTCCACCACCTCCCTGGGCAGCCTCTGCCAGGGCTCTGCCACGCTCACAGCAAAGAAGTTCCTCCTCATGTTTAGGTGGAACTTCTTATGTTCTAGTTTGTGCCCATTTCCTCTTGTCACTGGGCACCACTGAGAAAAGACTGGCCCCATCCTCCTGACACCCACCCTTGAAGTATTTACAGGTGTTGATCAGATCCCCCCTCAGCCTTCTCTTCTCCAGACTAGAAAGCCCCAAGTCCCTCAGCCTCTCCTCATGAGAGAGATGCTCCAGGCCCCTCATCATCTTTGTAGCCTCTGCTGTCCCCTCTCCAGCAGTTCCCTGTCCTTCTGGAACTGGGGAGCCCAGAACTGGTCAGGTCCCACTGGGGAGGCTCCTGTGGGACCAGGGGACTCCCAGCAGCTGGAGCATTGGGATGTGACCGAGATGCGGGGTGGAGAGGGATGTGGTGAGGAGAAGGATGTGCCATGGACCGGGATGCAGCGCGAGAGCATCCCAGCGTGAGCCCGGCCCACGTGCCCCAGTGCCACCGAGTGAACTCCAGGACCCAGCAACGGCTTTTATCCAAACACAACTCAACCTCACCCTGCCCACACGCTGCTGAAAATAGTGTTTTCAAGGGGGAGAAAAAAAAAAAGAAAAAAAAAAAACCCAACAAAAAAACTCAACACACGTGGTGAAATGTTTCCATTCTGAAACGTCCTTGCAGGCTCTTCCCTCGCGGTCGCTGCCCCGGAGCACAGCATGGCCCCCAGGGAACAGGCCCTTTTTCCTTAAAAAAAGAAAAGCTGGGCTGAAAATATAGGAGGAAATTTTCCCTACTGTTAATTACAGCCTATCGACGGTGCTACCGGGGAGAAGGGGGAGGGAAGAAGGAAATAGAAGATGATGCTCAAAATGGCTTTGCACCCAGGGCAGGAGGGTGCCCCGTGTTGGCACAGGGGAATCTGCCACCCCCCCCCCCCGCCAGTGCTGGCACAGGGGTCTCCTCTGCAACCTCCACCTGCCAAAATCCTTCCCGAAAAGGGACAGTCGCATCCTGCCCTCGGTCTGGCTCAGCAAGCAAAATTGGGAGGAGGGGGCGGGGGGGATGCTGCCAATCTGCTTAACCCAAAGCCTGGGAGATGCAGGTTGGGTGGGACGTTCGGGCTGGCAGCAGCTCCAGACACGGGTAAGAAGCTTTGGGGAGCAGATGAAAGTTGGGGGGGAGAATATTTCCCCAAACTAGCCCCCCCACGATGAAGCACAGGGCATGGAGATGGGAAGAGAGAGGATGCTGCTCCGTTTTGCAACCTCAGCCTTGAGCTCAATCCAAAATTTGGTAAAATCAGAGAATTGTTCTGGTTGGAAGGAACCTTTTACATGGCAGCACGGGGTCCCTGGCGATGCCACCTCGGTGGTCCCTGCTGATGGGGCTGACAGGGAGTCCTCAGCCCAGGTCGGGGAGCTCCCTTTCATCGAATCATGGAATCGTTCTGGTTGGAAGGGACCTTTCAGATCATCGAGTCCAACCATCAACCCAACCCTGCCCAAACCTCCACTGACCCATGGCCCTCAGCACCACATCTACCTGGCTTTTAAATCCCCCCTAAAACCCTCAAACCCGAGACCCCCCAGGGTGGGGGGCATCCTGGCACCCCTCTCCTCCAGCCCCACCGGACGCGCTGGGCGCTGCAGGCCGGCTCACTGCCGGGGCTTAAACGTTAAGTAAACAAAGGTCAGAATGTCAAAGGAGGGATCTCCTAAATGACCTAATTTTTAAAAGAGCTTAAACAGCTCCATTTGCTGCGGCGCCGGCACCGGGACACAAATAACTCAACAGGTTGTGGCATCGGGCGGATGGTGATTATTCCTAAAGCAGAGGAAAAGCAGGGTGATGCCACCATCATTTATCTGGCCAGGCCTCCAGGATGACAATATATTGCCAATTCCACGGGTGGTTTGAGCGGTGAGAAGTCCCTGCCACCCCCAGGTAACCCGGGGGGCAGGACCACGGGGAGAGGAAGGACTGAAACCCAGCGCTGACTCCACACCACGATGCTCCAAACCCAGCACCGTCACCACGTGGCAGGTCCTTCACCCTGTCCCATCTGCCACTTCCTCGGGTCCACCAGCGTCTCGTGGGATGGGGAAAATTGGGGAGAAATTAGGAATTTCACATTTAATTGCCTAGGAAAACAGGGCAGAAGGAAGAAGAGGAAACTTTTGTGGATTGGGAAGTATCGAGCTTATTGAAATAAAAAAAAAAGTCCACAAGTTGGGCAAGAAACAGCTGAACTTGCCAGCAGAAGGTGCTGTTTCTGCTGCTGGGGAGATGCCACGGCACAGGCGGCAAATGTGGCTGCGTCGGGACTTGCCCGAGTTGCCCCTTTGTAGCCACAGCCCAGGGGCACAGACCAGAGAGGGTGGTGAAACCCCAGGAGTGTGGCAAGGAGCAGGATGGAGGCAGGTCTTGAAGGAAACACCAGGAATCTCCCCAAACTCCATCTCGCTCCCAACAGAATTCCTGAAATCCTGCAGACAGGTGGGAAGGGATTTTAGGAGGAGAAATAAGAATCAGAAGATACTGGGAATAAATCCCTTGAATGGGAAAGGGGTTTCTCTCGGGAACCTTGTCTGTTGGATTTGCCTCTGCAAATTTGAGGATGCAAAGGTGAAGCATGGCAGAGAACAAGTGTCCCCAGAAAATGGCGGTATTTCAATCTCTTTATGGCACTGCCTCCCTGCAAGTCCTGGCATCCCCCTCCTGCCTCTTCCACCCCCGCTGGCTCCTTCCCCTGCCCCTCTCCTGCCCCCGCTGCTTTGATTTCCCAACCTCTCTCCTCTCTGGACGTGTTCTCTCCTGCAGGATCCATTGTGCCGGGCTCAGCCCAAGCCTCCCCCCAGCCCATCTTCACCCTGGGCTTTTGCAGAGTATCACAGACTGGTTTGGGTGGGAAGGGACCTTAGAACCGCCCCCAACATTGCATTTCTCTCGGGCACTAATGACACAACGTCAAACAGAGGAGAGGCAGCGAGGGGAGGAGGCAACGGGTCCAGGCTCTGGTTGGGAAGGTGTCACCCAGGAGCATCGTGGCTCCTTCTCCTGGATTAGTGTCCTGGCACCACGGTCTCACGGCACTTCCACATTCCTCCTACACAGGAAGCTGCAGCAGGGAAACCCCCTTTCCTGTCCTGCTAAAATCCAAACCCTCTATGCTTCAACGACTCACAGAGCAGTTTGGGTTGGAAGGGACCGCAAAGCCCCCCCAGTGCCACCCCCTGCCCTGGGCAGGGACACCTCCCACCACACCACGTTGCTCCAAGCCCCCTCCAACCTGCCCTTGAACCCCTCCAGGGATGGGGCAGCCACAGCTTCTCTGGCCAATCTGGGCCAGGCTCTCCCCACCCTCACACCAAACAAGTTCTTCCCCACAGCTCAGCTCCATCTCCCCTCTTGCAGGGTCCAACCCTTCCCCCTCCTCCTAGGGCTCCCCTCCCTCAGCCAGAGTCCCTCCACAGCTTTCCTGGAGCCCCCCTTCTTGAGGGACTGGAAGGGGCTCCAAGGTCTCCCCGGAGCCTTCTCTTCTCCAGGCTGACCCCCCCAACTCTCTCAGCCCCCCCTCCCAGCAGAGGGGCTCCAGCCCTCCCAGCATCTCCATGGCCTTAGCTGTGTGATGCTTCCACACTTACCAGACTCTGGGCACCCCGGCCCAGGGTCTCCCCACCCTCACAGCAAAGAATTGCTTCCTGAGATGTCATCTCCATCTCCCCTCTTTCAGTGTCAAAGCCCCCCACACACTCTCTCCTCCCAAAGGCAGATTAATTCCCGGGCTCGTTGACAAAGTGGCAGAATAAAAACTCCTCTTTCTCATGGTTTTCACCAGCTCCAGCAGCAGCTTTGGCCCCAGCACCAGGACCACGGCAGCGTCTCACCCCCACCACAGCAACCCAGGCTTCCAAGTAAACTCATGGTTTTGCTGTTTCTCCCCCCAGGACAAGCCCTGCTGGTGGATGTGTCTAAAGAAACTAAGAAAAGGGGATTCAACCTACAGATTTTGCCAGTGCCCGCCGGGAGGAGGCAGGAGCTTTGCCCAGTCCTGCCAGCCCGGGGGGAGCTCACCCCGGTGCCCCCGCATCACCCCGGCACCCACCGCCCCGGCCATGGCACAGCCACCCACCGTGTGCCGCCCCCCGGCCCCGCACCCGTAATTCCATTAGAGTTACAGCCTGGGGAAAACTGGGAGGAAAATCACAGCCGGGGATTAAAAGGTGGTGGTGGTGGGGGTGGTAGAAAATAAAAATAATGTTAAAAAAGCCAGGAGCAGCGACAAGTCCCGTCCGTGGGCAGATTGAAAGCATTGTCCAGGAAGAACCCAATCCACAACAGCTCACAATACACACCAGATTAGAAACACTCCTCTGAAAAGAAGCTAATTACTAGAAATAATTACTAGAAAGAAATCTGTTATGGCTTATCAGTTTCCCCGCTGTTTAAGCGATGCCCCCCCGCCTGCCTCTGCTGAAGATGAATGGTGGAAAGAGCGGCAGATTTTGGAGATTGGTGATTTCAAACAAACAGAAAAGCCCTCTCCTCGGACGAGCCACTTCGTCACGGCGCTGTGTCCTGGCACCACCCCGGGCAGGGACGGTCCCTGTCACCTCTCCCCACCCCAGGCTGGGATGCTCAGACCTCGCCGAGATGTCACCCGTCCTCCGGGGAGCGGCACCCAGGGCTCAAAGCTTGAAAACTTGGGGGTGATGGAGCTCACAGACATCGCTGCTCACCCTGGCACGGGGACCACCGACACCCCCTGCCACCACGGGGTCATTTTTACTCCGACTTTCCATTCAGGGACTGACCTAGTGTTGGGTTTTTTTCAATTGAGGTTATCCCATCCAGAGCAACACACGCCAGAGCTCCCTGCCCAGTTACCCTTCCAGTCCCTCAAGGAGCTCCAGGAAACCTCCACCATCAGGGAGGGGAGCTCTAAGGTCTCCCTGGAGCCTTCTCTTCCCCAGGCTGAACCCCCCCAACTCTCTCAGCCCCCCCTCCCAGCAGAGTTGCTCCAAGCCCCCTCCAACCTGCCCTTGAACCCCTCCAGGGATGGGGCAGCCACAGCTTCTCTGGCCAACCTGGGCCAGGCTCTCCCCACCCTCACACCAAACAAGTTCTTCCCCACAGCTCAGCTCCATCTCCCCTCTTGCAGGGTCCAACCCTTCCCCCTCCTCCTAGGGCTCCCCTCCCTCAGCCAGAGTCCCTCCCCAGCTTTCCTGGAGCCCCCCTTCTTTAGGGACTGGAAGGGGCTCCAAGGTCTCCCCGGAGCCTTCTCTTCTCCAGGCTGAACCCCCCAACTCTCTCAGCCCCCCCTCCCAGCAGAGGGGCTCCAGCCCTCCCAGCATCTCCGGGGCCTCCTCTGGCCCCGCTCCAACAGCTCCATGTCCTTCTGCTGGTGGTGGCCCCAGAGCTGGAGGCAGCACTGGGGGGTGTCTCCCCAGAGCGGAGCAGAGGGGCAGAATCCCCCCCTGGCCCTGCTGGCCACGCTGCTGGGGATGCAGCCCAGGGGTGGGGGGTTTCTGGGCTCCAGCGCACGTTGAGGGGCGTGTGGAGCTTCTCACCCACCAAAGGAAGGAGCTCCTCAGCCCACCGAAGGCGGGTGAAAGTGGAGGCTCTTTTCCATTTGCCAGATTCATGTGGGAAATAGAGAAAAAAAAATGGAGAGAGCTCCACTTCTCCAACCAGCACTGCCCGGTCAGCAGTGTCCCTCTGCTGTGGGAAGGGTCCTCGCTGTCCCCAGGGCATGGTCAGAGGATGGCTGGGGACAAAGGCTGCCTCTGGGACTCTGCATTCACTTGAGGATCACAGAAGCCAGGAGCCATGGGTTCCCAGAGGAGGCCAGCACTCCCCAGAGAGAGGCAGCCTCAGAGCCCGTGCCAATGAGGGACATCAACAGGGGACACCAAGAGGGGACATCAAGGGGCACTTTTTCCTTGTGGGGCCCTTCAGCTCAGGCTCCCTCTCCAGCTGGCCAAGCCCATCACTTTCAACACAGATCCTGTCCCTCCTGAAGTTTCTAATCCTCTTTGAAGAAATAGAGGTCAAGTGGGAAACAGATGCAAATGCTGATTTTGGAGAAGGGCTTAGAAGATTATCTCACGCACCTTTTGTCTGCCCCATACCCCTGGACGTGTCCATCCTAATCTGCTCCTTCCTTCTATCTCCTCACCTTCTAAAATTCATGGGTTCCACTCAATTGCCCCATAGACAGGATCTTCCCACCATTGACCCTGGAGGGGACCTTGCTGAAACCGGGGAAGTGACAAATCTCCAAAAGTCACCTTTCCCTCCCACTTTGCCACTGCCTTTCCACTATCGTATGCAAAAGCATTACTGTTTTGGGGTTTTCTATGCTCTCCTTTCTGTTATCATCATCATCATCTCCCTTCCGTTTATCATTTTGCCACTTGAAAAGTTTTCAGAAGAAGCAGCTTGGAAAAGAGGAAGAGAAAATCCCACCCGTGGTCTCCCTCCGGTCCATCCTCCTCCTCAGCACCCGAGCACAGAGGCAAAGCAAAGCTTATTGATGTGTTTTGGATCCTGCTCCAGGAATTGATGTTTTCTACTTCAACCACATTCAATTTCAGTAAAAAAAAAAAACAACTTTGAGACGTGAGGAGCCTCCTGCCCTTCCTGGCTGCTCTCTCCCAGCCTCCCCAGCACCAGGAGCTCCTCGTGCTGCTCCCAACCACCCCGGGCCAGTGGCCGAGACCTTGCACTGGTGTGGGGAGATACCACCCCGGAGGGGACTCGAGCCTCGGGCACGATGTGGGGCTACCATCCTGCTGGCCACATGGCCCCAGTTGGCCCTCCGCTGCGGACACAGCCCGGGGAACCCCCCGCCGGGGCGGCTCCGGCTCCGGCTCCACGCGCTGGGGACTGGTTGGGCTCGTGGCCGGGCCGGGGAGCGCCGCGGAGGCTGCCAAAGGCTGGGAGCCCTGTCTTTGAGAGGAAGCCAAACGCGTCTTCCCCGCACACATCAAAAGGGAAACCTCCGTGTTCCTCCCCGGGCAGCTCCTTCTCGGCTGGAAACTCTCAAGGCTGCCTGGGCCCCAGGCATGGGACGGGCTGGGATGGGTCCCCCCCACGCACACCCCCGAGAAACCTCCTTGAACTGCATCAAGGCTCCCCCGTCTTATTAAGAAACAACTCTTCTGCTTTGCTTACATCCTCCCAGGGCAGAAAACGAGAAGGAATAACCGCCCTTGCAGAGGGACAGGGGGGAGCTGCTCGGAAAAGTTCTTCCCCACCTGCACGGGACCCCCGAGGGGCAATTAAACACCCCCCCCCCCCTCCGACGGCAAGAGCAGCGAAAAGGGGGAGCAGAGCTGAGAGTGAGCCCCCAGGAGGAACAAACACCTCCCTTCCCAGCACGACCCCCCTCCTCTCTTCCCTGTTCTGACCAGCTCTGCAGGAGGAACCTCCGATCGTGGTGGGGATTTTGTGTTTCAAACACAATTCCCTCTTCTAACCCCACCCTGCAGCCCAGGAGCGAACGCCGCCGGCCGCCCCGGCTCCGCTCCTTCCACTCGCTGCAGGGTTTGAACCACCGCTGCGTGGGCAAAGGTGGGGAGGACTAACCCCAATTCCTGACCTAATGTCATTAGAGCTTTCTAAGCCCTTCAGGATGGATATTTTCTGCTCTTAATCTCTCCCTCCCGCCCCCGAGCTGGGAGAGGTAACTGGGTAAATGGTGGCACGCCTCCGGTCACGCACGATGGGTGGCGAGGCCGGAAAGCAAAGAGCCTGTTGTAAGACCCTAAAATGAGCTGTGTCTTGCCCAACTGCCACTTTTCCACCCTTGATCACCAGCTCCCAAGAGCACACTCAGCCCACCCTGTGCCAACAGGAGGGCATCAATCTCCACTATTGCCTCTGGGTGCTACTGTAACGCAGGGAAAAACAACCATCGATATAAAATACAGCGGCGGTTGTGTGTCAGGAACTGATGGAATCACAGAATCCTTCTGGTTGGAAGGGACCTTTCAGATCATCGAGTCCAACCATCAACCCAACCCTGCCCAAACCACCACTGACCCATGGCCCTCAGCACCACATCTGCCCGGCTTTTAAATCCCTCCAGGGATGGTGAATCCACCACTGCCCTGGGCAGCCCATTCCAAGGCTTGAAAACCCTTTCCATGAAGTCATTATTCCTAATATCCATCCTAAACCTCCCCTGGGACAACTTGAGTCCGCTTCATCTTATCCTATTGCTTGTTACTTTGGTCAAGAGACCCTCTGGACAGCAGCTCCTTTAAGCACAGCTTTGAGAACATCTTTTGGAGCAGGTCCACATGGGGAACAGCAATTCCAGCCAGTGCAAACACTCCCACCACCATGTGCTGTTCTGCATTTGATTTCCCCTCCTTTGACCACCCACCCACCAAAAGACACTTACCCACTAGTCCAGCTCCCAGGAACGGTGATGAAGAGATGCTGCTGTGGGACGGCAGGTCCCTGTGCTCACTGTAGTGGGGGCCTTCACCATAGCTCTGCTGAAACAACACGGGAGAGTCACTGCTGGGCATGTGAGGATGCCCAGCCACACCACAGAATCACAGACTGGTTTGGGTGGGAAGGGACCTCAAAGCCCCCCCAGTGCCACCCCCTGCCCTGGGCAGGGACACCTCCCACCACACCAGGTTGCTCCAAGCCCCCTCCAACCTGCCCTTGAACCCCTCCAGGGATGGGGCAGCCACAGCTTCTCTGGCCAACCTGGGCCAGGCTCTCACCACCCTCACACCAAACAAGTTCTTCCCCACAGCTCAGCTCCATCTCCCCTCTTGCAGGGTCAAACCCTTCCCCCTCCTCCTAGGGCTCCCCTCCCTCATCCAGAGTCCCTCCCCAGCTTTCCTGGAGCCCCCCTTCTTAGGGGAGTTGGACTAGATGATCTCTATGGTCCCTTCCAACTCTAGAAATTCAGTGAAAATTCAGTGACTGGAAGGGGCTCCAAGGTCTCCCCGGAGCCTTCTCTTCTCCAGGC